AGTAGTATCTGTGACAGATTAGCAGAATTTTAATTTTTTAACTAATATATCAGTTAAAAATAGCTGCCACTGTCTTACAGATTGTTTTAGATTATATAAAGCTTTATTAAGCTTACAAACCTAATTAGGTTTTTCTTAATCTATAAATCCTTAAGGTTGTTCTATATATACTTCTGTATCTATAGGTATATTTAGGAATGCTTATTTTATATCCTATTATTCTATAAATTAGTTATAATATATAGCTATATATAATAGAATCCTTATAGTATTAGGCTTAGTAGTACTAGCAAATATTTCTTTATAATTTATACTATATACTTATATATAATCTTTTACTACCTAGTGAGCCTTATATTTTATAGAACTATCAGGTTTAATCTTCTTATTAAATACCTATCTACCCTATAAAACCTTTTGATTAGGTTTAGGTACTAGGGTCTATATATTATTTTTAATAAACTGATTAATTTCCTGATTATAAGCTTTTAAGTAATGCTCTTTATCAGGATAAGTCATTATCTCTTAATAGCTTATTAGTTCTATATCAGTTATTAGGGCTTATTCTAATAACTAATTATATAGGCTTTACCAGTTATTAGGATCTATTAAGTTTTCTTAGTTATTACTAGTTACTAGGGCTATTTTATCCTCTATATCTTCTTAATCAGATATATTTGGTGAATCTGCTGATTCTATATCTAATATATCTTTAGATATATAAGGATTTTTTAGAGAATTAAGAGGTAATTCTCTAAATCTGCCTTCTAGTATTTTTATATCTCTTGACCAGATAGTCTTATTAAATATAAAATCTAGTAATTTATATTAATTTGATCCATATCCTATTAGATAATAGGGTTTTGATCTTAGATCCAGCTTATTTAATACCTGATTAGGTAGCCTTTAATAAGCTAATAATCCCTAGATTTTTATATTACTTATATTAGGTTTTTTACCTAATTTCATCTTATATGGGGTTTTGAAGCTTAATGAGCTGTTTAGTATCCTATTATATAAATAAGTAGCTGCTATTATAGCTTTACCCTATAAGTATATAGGTAAATTAGTATTAAATAATAAGGCTCTAACCTTATTAAGTAATATTCTATTTACCCTCTCAGCTATCCTATTTTGTTTAGGTGTATATGGGGCTGAATAAGTAATTATAATCCCCTTTTCTAATAGATATTCTGCTAGGGCTTTTAACTTAAATTCATTATTTATTTGAATTATAGCTAATTTTTCATTATTAGGCGCTTATCTCTCTAATAGGCGGATATTTCTTATAATTACCTTATATATATCTTTCCTTAATAATAATAGCTCGATAGAAAGATATCATAAATAATTATCTAGAAATGTTATATAATATCTATAGCTACTTGGCGTTTTTGGTGTAATAGGTCCACTTATATCTATATATATTTTATGTAAATATCTAGAATTATTAGTAGATGGTTTTTTACTAATATTTCTAGTAAGTTTTATTTATATATATATAGTGCAATCTTTTTAAGAGTTATCCTTAATAATAATACCTTCTATATTATTTTATAATTTAGAAAGTACTTTATTATTAGGATACGCCATCCTAGCATGCTATAGATCTTATATGATTTAATTTCCATCTGTAAGGAAAACTTGATTTTTAGTTTTCTTTATAGATTCTGTGAGGAAAATCAAGTCCTTATTTTCCTCTATTAGTTGTTATTGCTTATTTATCTTAATTTCTAAGATTATAAGCTTATTTTTATAGATTACCTTAGCTATAGGCTCTCTATTTTTAGTAAGTTTAGTTTTACTAGCTAAACTAGTAATAATCACTCTATTTTTAATTACTTGGTTAACTGAAATTAAGTTAACCTATAATTCTAGAATATAAAGCATATCTTTTAGGATAGCAGGTTTATTAATACTAGTAAATATAATACTAATATTACCTACTCCTAAAGCCTTTATTAATAATCTACTATTCCCCTAGATAATTATCTTATCTATAGGTATAATAGATTAAAATACATCTTTTCTATTATAAATATGAATAGTAGCTCCTGAATCTAGTACCTATTCAATACTAGATTTAGTTTTTGATACCTGATTAGTAATAAGGATTAATTCTTCCCTATTATCTAACTCAGAGGTATTATTTATTATCTTAGGCTTTAATTCAGGGTGCTTTATCCAGTATTTTTCTTTTATATACCCTTTTTTATTATAAGATATATATTTAGGTTTCTTAAGCTTATTACTTTTAGTAGGTAAAGTTATTTCTATATCTACTATATCTTTAGTATTAGCCTTTTTACCTAATCTCTTACTTTCATCCAGCAGCTAACTAAATATCTGATCTAGATCTATTTCTTTTTTAGATAACCTTATAGTTTGTATAATTATAGCCACTATATAATTATAATCTAAACTTAGATTATTTAATATAAATACTACTATAAACTTAGGTGGTAATACTAGATTAGATAAAGCTAAGGTATTTAGGAGCCTTTTTATATTATGGATATAAACCTCTATATTATTTTTACTAAATTTAAGTATAGTATTTATTAGCTCCTTATAACTAATAAATTCAGCACTAAAACCTTATTAACCATATAGTTTTTTAAGGTTATTCCATAATATATTAGCGTCACTAATATACCTTAATTATAATAATGGCCCATCTCCTAGTATAAGCTTAATTAAGGTACTTACCTTATTAATCTTAACTAGTAATTCTCTATATAGGCTTTTATTATTACCAGCTGCTTTAAGGGTAATAGTATTATTTTTAATATCCGTATAGTCTCTTTTAACTAATAGTACTTCCATTCTAATAGACTATAAGTTATAATTAGAAGAGCCTATTAATTTTGGAAATTTCGTGATATCCATTTTTGATATAACCTTCTTTAAGATTAAGATGGTAGTTAGTCTCTATAGACTTAACTAGCTTAGTTAGTCTATAATATATATATATATATATATATTATAATTATAGCTATAAGTATCTCAATCTTTTGTTCAAGACCTATTTCCAAGCTCTTTATGGAATCATGTGAATGTTATATGATTATCATGTGAGCATATAAGTTATGCTATCACATGATTAGATATCTATAAGGTTATATAAGAGTCACGTGTACTAATCTTCTTAGTTATATATGACCTTTTATATATCTAAAATAGGTAATAGAGTCTTCTAAAATATTAGGTAGACTCTATTAGTTAAAAAGAATATATAAATCTTTAGTTATAAGAG